GGTGACATGGAGGAGATCGTGTGAAGAGGAGTTGAAACAGTATGGACTAACATGGATGCAAGTGAAAAGTACAGCAGAAGACAGAAGCAAGTGGAGACGTTCAGTTGAAGCCCTATGTTCCACTAGGAACCCAAGGGAACAATAATAATAAATAGAAATCAGAACAAAACGCACATACTAGATGAAAAATTCTTCAAATTATTCAACAAGTTATCCTCCTAAGTGGTCCTAATCAGCTGACCTTCTCAATTACATAATCATTCAGTGTTTATAAGAATCTGGCATTGAGATACATTAGTAGAATAAAATGAGGTTGTGATGAAATAGGCGTTGCTGTACGCAATCGATGTTCATCATGTTACTTAATTCAATTTTAGATTTTCCCGTCGATTGATTGAACCGAAGTGCTCGGTTTCAGTTTGACATATCAGTTTCTTGAAACTATGGACACTGGATTCGAGCCTCGATGGGAACATCATCACTCACTGCGGAATGCAAATGCATCCAGTTGACGAGTCGCAAATAGGACGACATGCGGATCCTGGATACCACTGCTAGTCACCATCCACCAATTAATTCGTCACGTTAGTTTGTATTAAAGCTGAAATCACGTATTGTTAGCATAAAAGTTTTGGAGAAAGTTTTCCATTAGAAAGTATTATAATATATATATTATATATATATATATATTTGTAAAAAATTAATATGTTTTACAACTGTTTACCCACACACACATACACACACTCTGTTTAAAGTGTTTAACAAAGGTAGACCAATATTTGTAAGTCCGAGGTCAAATTTTCATCACAGCTCATAAAATTTTGTTTATTATACTTGTTGATACTTTTTGAATGACTCATGATTGGACAAATTTTCAAAAACAAGTGATGTTCCTTTTTATATATAAACCTATCTTATGTTAATTTCGATTAATTTCCCTGAAGAAGTTCGGACCAGATTGCCGAACGAAACGTTGGAATTACTCATTTCAATCTCGCTGAGACTTTACAAATACAATTTTTTTTACAAATGTCTACTTCTCACTCGGCGCCCAAATATTTTAGAACTATTCTGTCAAATCTTGACCTCGCTATGCTGGTAATAAGACTGGTAAACATGAGAGGTTTGGCATGAGGCTAGGAACCACATCCCGTAAAAATAAACACCACCACTTCAAACTTCTAGCTTGAAGCCCCCTATGTTCCACTGGGAACGTTAAGGAATAAAAAAAAATGTATAAATAACAGTGGTGAGGATGAGTTATTTAAGATTTCCTATACAACTGCATTAGTTTCCGCTTCACTGACCACATCTATCAGTCATTTTTAATGACAACTATAAGTGTTAAATATATATAAGGGTAAAATGTTGCCACTGTGATCGAATGTGATTCAATATCAAACAGGCTGATTTGATGATATAACTTTCCGTCTCTCTCCCTCTCTCTCACTGCAACAAGATACTACTGAATGTCCCCATCCTCCCACTAAAACCGATATCCACCACAGTACAAAGAGCTTTTCAGTATACATTTATAGAGTAGGGATAAGTGTACTGCATGCGTGTGTGTCATTTGACCCTATTAATCATTGATAAACGTTTTATCCTGTATTTTTGATGGAAGAGTTGAAAAAATGTCAGTACATCTCATTTGAACTTGAAACTAATTGAATCTCGGGCAAATCAATACACACTTGAAAATGTCAATTGATTGATTACTGGTCGGTTGATGACAGAGGTAGTCTGGAGTGTGTAGTTTCAGCGTATTTATGTTTACTCTCTTGATTAACATTCATAGCATCACATAAATCATCATAATTCCGTGACCTGAATAATTTCTTTTCTTTTTTTTTTCAAGGGAAAATGTTGAAGAAATTTTACCTCTTCAAACTGTTTAAATTATTACACATGGAGAATTTGACTGAGAACTGACTTCGTTTACAGCATCACACATCTGATGACACAACAATCGAATCATCATTCTAAATTTTTCTAAAATGATATTGTACACAGCAGACATGTCACATTTGAATTATAGATGTATTTCTACGCAAGTCAATATATTCCGTGTCGTCGGTCGGTCGGTTTTCGACATAGAACTTTGCACATATGTGCGACAGTTCAAGTCGCCACACTCCCTCCTTGTAGCACACAAAGCAAGAGAAGAAAGTAGGAGAAATGCATAATAGAGACAGTAAACAGAGGTGTGAGACAAAGGAATAGTAATAACGAAGAACAAAACAGTTTCATTGGAAATCATAAGTCACAAGGAGTGGATGCATCTGCGCCAGCCATCATTGAGAACGAGGATTTTGAGCCATGTCACCAATTGTTTCCAACCATTGGTTTTTACCGTCCCGAGGACCCCAACCACGAAGTCTACACCATGTAGAAAGAATTTTTGACCAATTCATGATCTGCAAGAGAATGGATACACACTGAACAAAGAATACTCTTTTCGATAACCTCTTCTTCATCAGGTTCTACAGTTATATATACATTATAGTGAATGGGTTAGTGTTATTAACAATATTAATATTATTTAAATAAAATCGAATCGTTAATTATAATTTCAATGGTTTACAGTTTGATATCATCAACACAACAATAAACTGAATGTCAGAAAAATTAGGAAAGATAATAATACAAATTCATGAATTTGTAGTCTCCACTGAAGGCCAGCCAGAACAGTAGTAGTGGCTGGATTTGCTTCTTTTGCACACAGAGCACTGGTTATTTCATGCGAATTACGATAGCCTTCGTAATTTGGAGTATTCGGTACCTGGATGTTTTTGGCAATTTTTTAGGCACCCAGTAGATGATAGAGAAGGAACGATTCGTCAATGCTGGCTGGCTTTGTGGCCGTCCGGTTTGGACCAGGTGGTCTAATATCAAACTGTTGATGGTTTTCACTACATCTTTACTTAGTCATACTAGGAGATGTTCTCGAGTGAACACGAAAAATCAAGTTCCTAGAGCAACACCCACTATAACTCGCTCCACTACAAGTTCAGTTGAATAGGTAGGCAAAATTAGAAGTGGCTAGTCTAGGTACTTTATGTTCCAATTAAGGAATCACCATTGGTTGTGTAGAAAATAAGACTTGTAATTTGCCAGTATTAAAAATCCTTTGAGCTGAATTTCTTAACTTTTTCGTAATTATTTCACTTGGTATATCACCCTTGACTTGCAGTCGTATTTGGTGAGAACAAGTGATGAGTGTCAGTGGCTTCCTACAACTTACAAAATTCAGTAGTATATATGGCACAGGTTTCATTTACCTGTAGTCATGTATATATGATATATGAATTTGTAATTTAAGTGAATCATATTGAGCAATTATATGTTATATTCAACAGCTCTAAAAAAAGGATTTCGTCAACATTATGAACATTCAATTGGTGGATGGTGACTAGCAGTGGAATCGGTGGGAACATTAACACTTACTGGGAAATCCACGTACATCCAGCTGACGAGTCACAAATAGGACGAAATGCGCATCCTAGATTCCACTGCTAGTCACCATCCACCAATTAAATCCTAATTAAATGCCCAGACATCGTCGAAGCATATGCACAAGAAGCTGACAGGCATGTCAACCTGAGACCGAGCACTTCGGTCCAGTCAATCGACGGGAAAATGTAAAATTCAATTAAATTATGACCATTCTACGTTGATAATTAGATATATAACATTTAGAACATCACATTCTTCAGTAGATAGTCGATAAGCCACAGATTTAGATTTATTGACTGAGGATAGAAGACTTCGAGACTAAGTGTCTGCGTTCTATCTCCCACGTGAAGTGGTATGATAAGATGAGCAATATTGAGGTTAGGCCTCGGTCGAGTGCTAGGTCAGTAATAAAGCTGGTAGAGAGGAAAGGTTGGGCAAGAGGCTGGCTAGCAAACCCATCCTGTAAAAATAAACACCACTGCTACAGAAACTTTAAAACAGGCTCTAGCTTGAAGCCCTATGTTCCACACACACACACACTCACGCAAACCCAGTCGTTCAATTTTATAACTGTACAATATAACATGAACATGTGTAAAAATCACTCTAGGACTTCATAATGATCATTATAATTATCTGGTCATATGAATTCAAAAAAAATTAGGCTTTGTTACACGTGACCTGAATTAGTTATATAGCATGACTCATCAATAAACCACTTTAATTCTCTGAACTCTTCTTCCTCTCCCTCACCTCATACACCACAGATGGTGCGTTAAAATTATTCTAATCAACCAATCATATTCAACTTAGCAGGTTATTATTATTGTTATTATTACAATTATTTAATCACATAATGACATACTCTCTTCCCTTCCTCGCTTCCTACATTCCTTCTCCTACTACTTCTCTCTCTCTCCCCTTTTTTGTAAAATAAACATAATGAACGATTCTATCTATCTATCTAACTACCCCCCCCCCGTAAAATCTTTTCAATATGTCGATCTAATTCACTCATTCATTCATGCATTCATTGATTGATTCATTCAGAATAAATGAATCAATAATAATACACCAAAGTTTTATTTGTCATCATAGTGCACGAAAAAAAGTTCAATTGGACTAGTGAATAGGTTAACAGGATCAGAAAGAGGGAGAAAGAAGGGGAGGGAGGGAGAGCTGGCGATAGGTAGGGACGCGAGTAGACGACAGAAGAGGACAAGAAAGTATAACTTTTATCAGCACAGGTGTACATACATGCATATATATATATATGTGCTGTTTTTACCAGTGTGTACAAAGAATAAAAAGTTCTGTGAATTATTACAATAATTACAATAATAATTATGTTCAGTTAACGGATTGAGGAGATCAGTTTAAACAATACATATCTCTACTGAATATTATAACGTAATACAAACGAAAACAAACTATTGGACATTGAATAACGCTACTCAGAACATATATTGGAATCAAAAAATACATTTTATTCTTATCTGCTTACCTAAATAAAACTGTTGAACACACACACACACACTGGAGCAATGAAATCTTCGCGATCAGAGTCAAATAATAATAACAATAATAACAATCAAGAGTGTAGTGGTTCTCCACGTGAATTGTGTTCATCTGAATATCAAGTAAGTTCAATATTCAATATATACTTATTATTAATATTTACAATTTGAAATATTTATCATTACTGTTAAGTATATTCATATATAGAGTCAATGCGTTGAGATTTTCTTCTCTTTTTGGTTCAGTTTAAGGGTGTCTAACTGGTTTTAAGATTTAAGATTTAATTGTAAGGATGATCCCATCCCGTTTTCTTTGTCACAATGAAATATGTATGGAGGATTTCATCATGAGCTGACATCAGTTAGAGAACCACTGGAAAACCTGCAAGGAGTACTGGACAGCTGTTTCGTCCTAGTTTGGGACTCATCAGCAGTACGCACCCACCGGGATTCAAACCCAGGACCTTCTGGTTACAAGGCCAGCGAGCTCGTAGACAATTGAGCCACTGGGACTCGATCCAATGGTCCTTGAATTCTAACTTCTGCCAATTCACGACATAGCGCGACCATTTCGCAATGTCTTCTTAGATGAGTTACTGTCACATCTTCAACCTGCTGTACCCTACTGGTCACGGCTTCCCAGTACTCCCAGGTTTTCCAGTGGTTCTCTAACTGATGTCAGCTCATGATGAAATCCTCCATACAATTAAACAAAATCCCTACCAAACCAATACTTGAAAAGGAAATATGTATTTAAAAAAAATGAAATTTATATTCAGATTTATTGGTTGAGGATAGAAAACTTCGAGACTATGTTAATCCCTTTTTCTAGTAAATTTCTGTCCCTGTCTAAACCCTTTCTTCAATGAATCAATTGAGGTTGAAAACACCACTTTTTCTGAGAGTCGGTTCCAAGAGTTTATGACTCACTGTGAGAACCAGTAATCAACAGCAATATGATTTCTTCTTGGCTTTCGAACTCTCCTACTATGTCCTCTAAGGTGTTCCAATCACCTGGTGGGAAGGAAAAGAGAGAATAGATCAGGGCCATAGTCATTATTTAAAATTTTAAACTTTGTGATTAAATCTCCTCTCTGTCCACGGTATGATAGGGAGAAGAGATTCCTTGTATGATAAGTTAGTCATGCCTTTGAACCCTTTCTAGAATATGTGAGTCCCCTCTAAGACAAGGAGTGGCTGGTTGACTGGATACAGTTTCCCAGTCTTGAACTCACCACAGATGTATATACGGAGGTAAACATATCTCTGGTGATTCTATTGAAGGCTGTGAGAATTGTCCATAAGGATGTGAAACTACGTGCAGCCACCGTGCGTGACAGTGTTCTGTAGTTTTTAAGTCGTGACTTACTATGACACCTAAATCCAAATGAGTCTGAAGTGATGTGAGTTTAATTTCCTCTAGTTCGTAAGAGCTGATGCTTGCTTGTGGGATGTGGTGCATGGTTGTACATTTCGTTACATTGATCAGGAGCATTCATTCTCTGGACCACTCTGACAATTTGTTGAGGTCCTGTTGTAACGTGAGCGTATCACTTTTACCCTTCATCTCTCTCCAAATTTTTAAGTCATCTGCGTATAAGACCATTGGGGAATCCGTTAGCACAGATAACTCAATGATATACCAAAAAAATAGGAGAGGCTCAAGTACCGTGCCACAAGGTTTATATTGGAGTATTCGACAGGAGTGTTCAAATCGTAAGTATGAACACTGAACGTTCCACTTTTTGTTACCGCTTTGTACAACCAATTTTTACAAAACGTTTTGTTATCGAACGAGTCATTAAGAAATAGATGTTACGATTCCGTCTGTATATATATGCTTAGCGTGTAAGGTACTGATAGTGCTGTTGATAAGCCATACTTTACCAGCTCTTATTATTAGTATTATTATTATTGTTCCCTTGGGTTCCTAGTGGAACACAGGGATTCAACTGCACGTCTCCACTTGCTTCTGTCTTCTGCTGTACTTTTCACCTGCATCCATGTTAATCCATACTGTTTCAACTCCTCTTCACACGATCTCCTCCATGTCACCCTTGCATTGACGACCCACTCGCCACTTCCCTTTCGGGTTCCACTCGAGCTATGGCCTGACGCGCGATGTCATCCAGCGGCCTCCTCAGCCAGCGAGTGTCCAATCCATCTCCACTTTCTCCTGCATATTTGTTGGGCGATTGGTTCTTGTTTCGTTTCTTCCCATAGTTTCTTGTTGGTTCTTGTTCTTTCCGGCCATCCGATCATCTTCAGTATAGAGCGAAGACAGTTAGTTGTTGATAAAGGTCTGCAATAGGCTGTTGGAAATATTCTTTGTGACCCGCCAAGTTTCTCATTCGTATAGAAGAACTGATTGACTTGAGGTTTGTATTGAAAATCCGAATTTTGTTGTTGATGCTGAGTTGAGTGACGAAGATTTCCAGATTGGTTTCAGGTTGATGAATGAGATATATTTACATACTAACAAGGAAAGTTGCACACTTGGTTACCAAACATAATGACACTTGCCAATCGAAATGGTTGTAATAATAATAATACAATAATAATTTACGTAAATGACCAAGTTATTCGCGTGATTACCTGTAATTATTTAACTTTTGTTAAGCATATTTCATCTCTTATAAACTCTGTAAACAGATAAACACCCTAGAGATTAAGGCAAAATCTTTCTTTAAAGAGTTCATCTCAAGTTTTTTTTGTGTGTGTGATAAAATTTATCAGATTTCAATAAAATTATCGATTTACCATCTGTTAGAATAATTCATTCATTGTTCCTCCTTATGTGCGTGTTTCTTGTTTAACTTCTGTGCATGCATGTTGTTGTAGTCATGGAAGTCAACAGTCTCACATCTTGACCTTTCTTAATTAGCTACTAATTTAACAAAAGATTTCCATCTTAAACCTGCAATTTGATAAATTTTTCCTTTTGTCTTTAAGTTTATCGGGGTAATACATTATTATTATTTATTATTGTTTCGTTTAATTCCTAGAGGAACATAGGGCTTCAGCCGTGCGTCTCCACTGCGTTCGGTTCTCTGCTAGAGTCTTCACCTGGCTCCATGTCTGCCCACACGCTTTCATCTCCTCTTCACATAACCTCCTCCAAGTCACACCACCTTCGCACTGACGACCAACTCGTCGCTTCCCTTTCAGGTTCCACTCGAACAATGGCTTGTCTAGTGATATCACTTGATGGTTCATTTCCTCAGAGTATGGCCAGCCAATCAACCTCCATTTCTTCCTGCTTGTTTGTTGCACAATCGGTTCCTGCTGAGTTGGTTCGCTCATTGCCAGAGATCTCTATTGCTGATCTTTTCTGGCCGGCCATCTGGACTTGAGTATTGGGCGAAGACAGCTGTTAATGAAGGTGTGTAGTTTGTTTGAGATGCTCTTTATGACGCGCAGTGCAAGTCTCTGATATTTATAGTAAGCAGCACTGACTTCACATTGGAGTTGAAAATCCGGATCTTATTTTCGATGCTGAGTGCTGTTGACCTCCACACAGACTTGACGAGAGTACTGAAAGCTTGTCTTGCTTTTCCGATTCTTGCTTAGATATCCTCGTCAGTTCCGTCCGCCTGTAGTTGAAACGATGCTTCCCAGGTAGGTAAATGCACACGTATTATTACTGTTATTATCATTACTGGAACCAAAATAGCTAAAACAGACTTCCTGTTCAACAGAACATAAGCCACAAATATTATCTGAAGGCTGGTAATACTACTCACCTGCTCAGGTTGAAGTGGGTGCAGCACGGTTCAACCTACTAGGCGAAAGTTGACTGCTTAAACCAATGAGTGACATGTTCGACACTCCCCTAATAGTCTGTGAAGGATCAAACCCAAAGGCGGCAGATTGGGTGTGGGGATAGATTCTCGCCAGTGATGACATTGACTACTGGTCGCACCATGTCGTGAAATGGCAGAAGTTGGAATTCATAGGCCTGATAGTGGATCAGGTGGCTGCTGATTGGTCTACGACCTCTCTGACCCTGTGGTGGGTGCGTACTGCTGAAGAGTCTGAAGATAGGCTGATGAGACAGTTGACTATTCAATAATCCCAGGTGGTTTTCCAACGGTTCACTAATGAATGTCGCCTGAAATTCTGATAGCATGCGCTTTTTTAAAGTGAGGATATAACATGATGATGGTTAGATGTCGAATTTAACCTAGATCACAGGTTTAGGGCTTAAACAGGAATTAACAATGAATACTGAAGTAAATAAATGGCTGTTATTACGAGTTGATCACGGATTGATATCACAGTTAGAGAACCATTGAAAACCAGCCACAGGGAGTACTGGACAGGCAGCTGTTTCATCCTAGTTTTGGGAATCATCGGCAGTAGAAGTTAGAATTCATGAGCTGGCTGGTCATTGAATCAGGTCGGATCCCAGTGGCTGAATGGTAAACGGGGTCCTGGGTTCGAACCCTCCGGTGGTGGATGCGTACTACCGATGATTACCAAACTAGGCTGTTGAAACAGCTGGCTGTCCAGTACTCCGTGTGGCTGGTTTCCAATGGTTCTCTAACTGTGACATCAATCCGTGATCAACTCGTAACAACAAAACTAATCCTTACAAACCAATTATAGAAAATGGCTGTTAAATATTTTTATCATGAGGAAAAAAAGGATGAAACGGTCATTTCATGTCACTAATGTACAGAACTGGTACAGGATTGAGACTCTTACTTCAAAACTTGTTGGCAAAGTTTTAATTCTAAATCCAATCACAATTATTCAGTTCCTAGTTACTTTCCTCTCGTTTTATTATCAAAAGGCGCATACAGTAGCATTTAGTGACAAATTATTGATACTCCTACATAGTACCTAAACTCACTTACGTGGGACTGGTCTTTCATGCTCCGGACTATGAGCCACACTTATTGTGTGAAGGCTGAGATGTCTAGGATAAAGTAGGTGGAATGGAATTCTAACCCAGGATCTACTGGATGAAAGTGTAGGGCTTACACTAGCGAGCTATATATATCTCTCATCATCTAATGCTGATTCATGACTAGAACTATTGTGAAATTGATCAAAATCCATGCAGAATTTGTAACTAAGTAATTTTATCTATCATAACACTGTGAAATTTTGTCAAGGTG